ATCTCAATTTCACTTCAGTCATCTTCAATCACCTCCAGGGTACAGTGACTGTAGCTGTTGCAAATTAAGAAATAAGTCATCTGAACACTCAGCTCCAGTCTAGAGGGAAGCTTGATATTTGCTCAACAGGATCAGAAATGCTAGATATTCTGTATTATTATGTTGAAAGACAAGTGTAATTTAAAAGCTAACATAATGTGACAAAGTAATAAATCTTGGAATTAATGCTAAAACTGTGGTTACTCTGTGGAGGGTACTACATGTTAAGGATCCAACAGATTTCTAGAAATAGCTTATTTTCCACCTCCTTCTCATCACATGACCCATGACCTGCATGCATGCAATACCACCTAGTTAGTTCTCACATAGAACTTGTATCATTAATCAGAAAGAAGTCAAGAAAATCTGTGAGTCGCATCAAGAAGCCATAAATGAATAAACAGGAGACACGTATTGCATCATCAGTAATTACAGCCAGAGAAGCAAACACATTAATTCCATTTCCATTTGATTGCAATGCCCTTTTTTTAACATGTTATGCTACCTCTTTCCTGCTCCCTCACAGTTATCTTATCAGCTAGGAACTGTAATACATACAATACTGCCCAAGATTGTTTTGTGCTAACCTTCAGTTTGGCAGCTTGTCCAAAATGATTACTCCATCTCCATACATAAGCCAAAGACCAAATTCAGACTTACAAGGACAAGTCAGTACAAACATTTGTCTGTGAAGTTGTAGATGTCCAATTCTGGCAAAACAACAGCTGTGCTACTCTTTATACATTTTTTACAGCCACAATGCATTGTTTCCTGCCTTAAGGTCAGATTCTTAGCTTAAATGTCATAAAAATTATTTAAAAGAAATCCCACTGCATGAGAGCTCTTCAGTTTCAAAAGATGTACAATTAGAAGGCACAAGGCATATTGGTCTGTACTTAGGAGTTTATCCTCCCAGTGCTTTTTCACTGAGGCACCACTCATTATGAAGCAGGATTTAAAGTATTTGGATAAGAAAACCTTAAGGCATCCTGCTTACATTTTTCCCATTTGGTAAACAGATTGCACATTGTTTATCCATGGACAGAGTAACTCCCAGTCAAACACCAAGCTGTTTGTTCTATCTCGTTACAGAATACTGTAGTCTTCAAATTCAGTGAATTCATTATCCTATAGAAAATGGAGTCCTGCTTCACAAGTTCTTGTACTGCACAGATCTTTACTAGGAGCCACCATCTTTAAAACAATACTAGCATCATTCAAGACAAAGACTAAATAGTCTATTCTTTTATATTAATAGAGTAGAAAAAAGCTTTAGAGAGGATTTAGGATTATGTTAAAGACATAATGCATAATGGAATTACTACCATTTCCCTTCCCAAAGTGAAAGTTTGTTTTCATGTTTAAGTACATTTAGGAGTTTACAGCTTCATTCTTAAATGCCCCCTCATCTACTAATCAAATAGCACATAGCACACAGTACTTGGAATACAAGGTGAATAATGGAATTCATGTCATACTTCACACCCATTCTGTTTGTTAGACTGGCAGAAGCACAAATGGGTTACTATGGGAGAAACACTTTTATAATTAAGGCAATTTGTTTCTGAGGGGGAAAATACAAGTGGGAGCACTCAGGAACATACAATAAAACCTCAACTCTAGAGAAAGCAAGTACTGAAATAATTTCATCTCTTCTAAAATTCAGAATTTTTTTATTTTGCATCCATTTTCCACAGTGTCAAGTACCTGGAAGCCCTATAAAGAGGAAATTTTACAAGAGAGATGTGCCATGTATGTTTTCCAGATACAAAATGGAAAGTATTAATTTACATTTCTCTGGAGAGAGTTATGGTAGAACACTAGAAGCAGAACTGCATTTTCTGTTGTAAATTTATGCAAAGCAAAGCTAAATTCTGACAGACATGCCTTTTTCCTTTTCACCATAAAGACAGAAGCAGAGAAGTTTTTAATAATGCAAAATGCATATATGCGAATCTAAAGATCTTTGTTTTAGTAAATCTGATTAGTTGAACTGGTGTTTAACAGCTCCATCAGCAATCTCCAAGACAAGACTTCAAGGATGTCTTCTGTGATGTTGAACAACCCTCACCAGTGCTTCACAGTCTCTTTGGACTGCATTACCATCATTGAAAAAAAGGTAAAAACAATACCAAAATACTTCTCGTCTACTTATTCATAACCCACCTAACAATATTATTAAGAGAATTTTCAATCTAAAATTAGCCTATTCTTTTAAACAGCAACAGGCACTAATTGTGCAAAATGTAAAAGTAAGACTAGTGTAAGTTTACTTAATTGTAAAATTATTTTTTTTAAATCTACTTAGTTTCCTATTTCCTGTTCTGTATTCGGAATACCCTCTGTTCTATAAAAGTGAGTAACAGCAAGATGCAAAAAGAGCAGTCCATATAAATTCTTTTTTAAAGGTCAGCATACTTCAGCAAGCATCGCAGAAGGATGTCTGTTCCCATCCTCACAAGAATTCCATGAGCACTTTATGCATGAGCAGTATGCCAGAAAAGCCCATCTCCATTGTCAAGGCAAAAATCTTTGGTACGTAGGAAGACTGTCAAGTTTTCCAAAACCCCTACCCTCATTTTAAGTTTCAAAGACCAATTGACAAGGACTTCAAGCTTGTTTCAAGGTGCTTTCTAATGTTTTACAACCTAGGTTCTCATAACCATACTCATCAGTTTTTAAACATGCACTGATTGTTTGGGTTGTGAAGAGTTTCACGAGACCTTGATAAGCACTTACTACCCTGTTTACACACATCCGTGTGTCTTAGCCTTAGCAGCAGGAGTAGTATCCTTCAGAGCCCAAAAATAAAGTACAGCACAACATTTAAAAAACGTTCCTGTAAGGAATTTCTTCTTTGCATTTCAACTTGCTCATCGCTTTATTTTTCTCCTTTTGCTTTTGGCAAGGCTATTCATGGCTTCCATTTAGGAAAAAGAGAGAATCCCCAGAAAGATTTGTGTCCATGTGTTGAGGGTACATCAACCAAACCCCCAAAATGCACTAAACCTCTAGAATGGAATACTTAAAAGCCGACAGCAGAGTCAACTGGTGATTATTCCACTCATTTTAATTAAAAGAGGAAAGTAGAGAAACGGCAAGAAGTCAGTTGTTATACATTGTAAAGTGTTTTTGCACGTCTTCAACTCCATAAACATTGACACAGTAAAAACATTACTGAATTATGCCTTCAAACTTTTCACTCTCTCCCCTTTGACAGCAAACTGTAGTTTCAGGATCTTATTTCAACTGATTTGTTTGTATCCTAGAGCCAGGAAAACTTCAATTTTGGGTGAAGAGTACCTAAATACAGCTTTCAGTTAGCTATTTTTTATAGCATACAATTAGAGAGACCTGGCCTCGACTCAAAAATAGTTTCTGCGGTCAGATACCTGATCTCAGTGTGAATACTGCTTAGCTTTCTCTATGGTTTACAGACCAGCTGCACCCACCAATCCCAAGAATTAATGCATTTCAATATAAAAGCAAAACGTGTAAAACTGGAGCAGGTTTGCAGGAAGCCACAGCTTTGAACTCGCCTTTCAAAACAAACTCGGGATTAAGAACAAAAAGTAGAACTAAGTAACTTAAGTAAATACCAGTCATAAATGCCACTAAGCTCTTAAGGAAATTGCACATTCTTTCCGCATCATGCCTGTTAAAAGATTTTTAGTGCAATTATACTTATATTCCTATGGCTCCTTTCTCATTTGTGAAATGAACAGCATTTACGTCTTGCATATAGTGTTTTAAGACCTACTGATGGAATTACATATAGAAGCTATACACGTGTTTTTCTGAGGCGTAGCGGAGTTATTTGATATTTTAATAAGAAAACCTAAAGAGTTTCCAATAATGGACCTGCAACTAATCGAACATTGCTACGACTACAACTTCATCAAGTGGAAACCCTGACAAAGAGCTCAACAGGGTGCAATAGCGCATCAGACCGCGGTGCTTCCAGCACCAGCCGTGAACAGGGCACCTTCACATTCTGCGCAAGGTGCAACTTTTCGGGGAGCCGCTTCCCTCCGTGCGGGCGGAGAGGGACCCCGGCACCATTCCGCTCGGTGCCGCACCTCCTTCCCTCAGACAAAGACGGCCGCAGTCGTTACCGGTGACAGCGATCCCGCGGCGGCGGGAAGCGGCCGTGCGGGGATCCCGAGCTCCGCCGCTCCGAGCCCGGCACGACCGCCGCGCCCGCCGCCACCCCGGCCCCGAGCGCCCTTCCCGCCGCCCGCCCGGTGCCGCCCGGTGCCGCCCGGCGCCCCGCGGTGCCGCTGCCTCCTCGCCGCCCGCCGCGGCCCCTTCCCTCCCGCGCCGCAGCCCCTGCCCTCACACAGCCCGCGCCCGGCGCTTCCCCACGGCTCCTCGCCTCACCCGCCCCGCTCAACGCGGCCCCTGCCCTCGCACACCCTCCCTCACACGCCCCCCGCCGCCGCCGCCCCGGCTCACCTTGCTGCAGGTCCTGCTGGTCGTACCAGGGCTCATCCTCTCGGATTTCGAACTCCTCCACCAGGCTGTCGGCCAGCATCGCGCCCCTTTCCCTCACGGGCGGCTGAGCCGGCAGCGCCCACCCCACGATGCCCCGTGCGCCGAGCAGGGCAGAGCGAGCCGGCAGCCGCTCCCCGCCTCAGCAGCCGCCTCCGGCCATTGCCGAGCGGTTCCGGACTTTGCCGAACCTCTCCCCCTTCTGGCCGGGCTGCGCCGGCGGCAACGTGGCAGCCACTGCCGCCGCCCACCCCCCGCCTCCCGCGATTCAAACACGGCAGCCTCGCCTCGCCTCGCCTCGCTGGCGGGCAGCCAATGGGGAGCCGCGCGCCGCACAGACCGAAAGGAGGCTACACCAATCATAAGGCGAGTTCATATCAAGCGACCAATGAGAGCGAGGGGAGGGTGGGCCCGGGGCAGCCGCGCCCCCCCGCCTCGCGGTGCGCAGCCTCCCGGCAGAAGAGGTTGGTCGGTGCCTCTGGAAGGGGCGGTGGTCGCCGGCGCTCAGGGACGTGCATGGTGGGGCGCGGTTACTGAGGGATGCCGGCTGCGGCTTGTGGCGGAGCAGAGCTGACACAGGCTGGGGTGGGACAGTGCGACTTGGCGTAAGGAAAGGCGGGGTTCGTTGTTGCCCCGTGTTGGGAGCGCTGAGGGAAGAGCCCGTGAGGAGGAGCATGGCGTGGCGTCCAGGTGCGGGCCGGAGTGCGGGAGGGAAGGGCGGACCGGTGAGCCCGCAGTCCGAAAAGGGCTGGCTCCATCACCGCACCTCCCTCGAGCGGCCGCCCCTCGCTGTCGCCTCGCACAAAGCGGAGGGAGCCGTGTTTCCTCTCCCGGGATCTGCTGAAAAGCGAGCCTAACTTCCCTGTTTTTAACAGAGGAGCCCTTCCAAAGGTGCAGCCGTGCGAGCGGAATCCACTTTTCTTCTTTAGACTCTTGCTCTAATTTCTTTTAGCAGTTGTCATCCTGCTGTGGGAGAATCGCAGGTAATGTGACACTGCATCTCACTGGCCCTAACAGCTTGTTCTTTCGGCCTCTTGAGTATTAACACGGTTGTAACCACTAGAAATTTCTGAAACCCATTTGCCTTCTGTGAGTCACGAAATGTTCACCAGTGCTTTAACCTGCTGAATATAAAGGCTGACTATTAAGAAGAGGGAGGGGATGCTCATGCATGATTTCATTGTAGTGCTATTAAAGGGAACATCTGGGGAAGGAAGTGTGGTACCTCAACTTCTAATTGAACCTGTTTCATAAACAAGGTGCTTGACCAGATGTACCAATTAGGGTAGAGTTGTGTCAGAGCCTGCATATTACAATTAGTCATGGTACTAGGGACCAGTTTGTGCATTGTGAGAAAATTTTTGTTGAAGAAATACCAAATATCTTTCAAATTTTCTGAAACTGAGGGGACCAATTTGTTTTTTATTTGTGTCAGAAGGAATCGAGTAAAACAATTTAGAAATCACACTGGTAAAGTTAGTGTGAAGCACTTGTATTCTTGGTGCTTGTGGAATTTGAAGGAAAGTAAAGTTTCCCAGTTCTCCATTTTGAAGACTTGTGCAGGGTGCTCCAGGTAGAAATAGAGGTGAAGTGTCTGCTTTTCCAAAAGCCCTAATATCCACTATATAAATAATTCCATTAAGTATATTTGTGAAGGCTTGAAAAAGTAAATGTGACACTTGCCAATAACATACTCATTTTAATAATTTTCATATTAATATCAAACTTATTTTTAAAAATAAACATTTCAATTGTACATCTTTTCAATAACCTTTTCCTGCATTTTAGGTTTCTCAGTAAAAGACTGTGAAACCAAACTTGCTACAAAAATGCAAAATTTTGTCCCCTGAAAATTAGTATTGTCTTTACAGGTGCAGAAAAATAAGTTTGAAGATATACATAATGGTCATTCTGAAATATTTTTAAAAATCAGTCATATTCTTAGAAACAAATTTGCTTTAATAAAAGGAATGCTAGGGTTCTAGTTGTTTGTCAGCTTGACTTTTTTCTTAGCTATAAAATGAAGTTACCTACTCCTTGCATTGGTTCATATCACAGCATCTTGTATATGCAAATGTGCATCCACACTTTATTTGCTCTTCAAGAGCTCATTTCCCGTGGTGGGGGGGATGGAAAAACTGCCCGTTCCATCTTCCCCAGTCCCTACCTGATTGTGGCTTTGGCGTGGTCCTTGCCCGGTGATTCGGAAGTTCCTCCCTTCCTCTCTTCACCACCTTGTAAACCTCAGGAAGGCTGGAAAGAGCCTTGGCTTTCATTTCCTGTTTCTTCCATGGTTATTTCTATGAGGAGTTCAGGGAGCTGCTTACAGAGCTGCTGATCAAGCAGATATTCAAAGTAGGTGTTTTGATGGATATGTGAAAATTGCATTTACAGTAAAATTGTTGATATGCAGAGGAGCAAAGTGTGAACTATTGACATAAAGCAGGTTGTAAAGCTCTGCATAGTAAAGCTGAAATTTGAACTTGAGGTATCAAAATTAATGGCAGCTACCTTCAACAGATGTAAAAATGAATAAGGCCTCAATTAAAAAACAGATACCTGGGAGTAATTTTCTATTGGGCTTATAGAATCAAGTATGGTCAAAGGCTACTTTTAGGTAGCTATTAAATAGCTTTAAAAGGTAGGGATTCCCTGGAGCTGGCTCCTTTCATGGCACTGTTTACACCAAACATGCTAATTGATGGAAAAGATCAGCATCTTAAAAATTTGTTGGCTGAATATCTGAATGGCAGATTAAAGAAATCTCTGCTATTTGGGCATACATAAAATTGTGTGTTTGCTACTTGCTATGTTTTATTTACATGCACTCTTCCATACCATGAAAATGTTAATTTAAAGGTGTTTTGTTTTAATTGTTTTATGGTTTATTAGGTGAAAATATTGCTTCCATGGCTTCTTAACCATTAGTATTTTAAAACAGAAGGGCAAAATTTGGTATTTGTTTTGAAAGAAATACTCACCTACGTGCACGCTGCACTTGACATTGGAATACATAAGGAGTTGAGTCACTTCATTCCAACAGAGTCCATAATTTTAAGAATACATAGCTAGCAAGAAAGATCTAAAATGTAAGTAATTACTTTGAACTCTACACCAAAATGAGTGTTTGCAAAAGTAGGTTTTTAAATGGAGTCAATACAGCAATTAGGAAGGATTTCTTTCAAATTTTTGTCTACTTGTTTCATTGACTTTTAGGTACTGATTATACTTAGAAATGTCAGCTAATAACTTGTTATTTTGGGCTCAGTGTCTTGTAACTCAGTAAAATGATTTTCTGATTGTAAAAAAAAGGAAGAATGGGAGTATTTTCCTCCAATAGTTCAGCACCTCTGAAACAAGCAAATCCCCCATGTTATTTTAATTTGGAAAATTATTCTACTAATTGTTGCAATTCTCTTTTGTAACTTGAGGAAGAAGAGAGCTGTACTCTTGGAAGATGAAGATTCTTTGGGGAATTCATGCTAATGCACTGGCATATTCTATGACTACCTTGGGTGCTGGAATGATGAATAGCATTTTTAATTTCTACTACGTTAAGCTTTTCCTAAACCGATACAAAATTTCAGAAACAGCATTTCATGCAGCACAGGTACTGTACAATGGAATATTTTGATTACCATGTTGTGCTGTGCGTCAGTGTTATTACAACAAAGTGATTCTTTTAATGACAGATTAATTTTGAAATAAATCATTGCAATTAATTAACAGTAAATTATCTTTGACTTTAGTTAATCCATAAGCAATGGAACTTTATATAAAGCACATAATTTACAGCCCACAGAGTAAAAATCTCCAGAGTTAATTGTTGAAAAGATTTTTACATTTCATAGCTTTAAGTAATTTTCTAAACTGATTTTGCACCTCAGCTCCATAGATAAGTTTGACATTAGTGCTTTCCTATGAACAGTTTAAGTGCTTAAATACTGCATTTATCCTGGAAGTTATTATCCATGTGAGTAACTCACGTTGTAAATGGTCTCCTGAAAGTAATGGGCCAGCTCATGTTTTGAATTAACTGACTGTGAGAATAATATCTGAGCTTTGTAGGATGAAAGCCCAGATACAGAAGGTTTTGAAAGACTGGAGTCTTAGAGACAGTTTATTTCACATGAGTTGGTCACCCACTTACTTACTCATCTTATTTTTTCAAAATTTCTATAAACCTATGAATACCAATAAGAATTTGTTTTAGAGTCTGTTTTGACTCTAAATTCTAAGTAGCTCTTAAGACTCTAAGTAGCTGTTAATAAGACTTAAGTAGCTTCAGTAAGAATCTAAGACTTGTTCTACTCGGAGTAGCTTTTCTATGTATTTATTTACTGTCTGAATAGAGATTTATTTTAAATAAATACGTTGTAGAAGAACGACAGCAGTGACAAATCCCCTTGTTCGTGGCAGGTTGTGTTTATGATCTGGAATGCCATCAACGATCCCCTTTTTGGGTACATCCAAGACACGTCCAGGCTGAAGTGCTGCGCCAGGCGCCAGTTCTCCATTTTGTACGGAGCCCCTGTGTACGGCCTGGCCTTCCTGCTGCCGTGGTTCCCCTGGCGGCGCTACGAGGAGGGCGACTGGCTCAGCGGGCTCCATCTCGGCGTCGCGCTGTGCGCCTTCGACGGGCTGCTGACCTTCGTGCTGCTGGCGCAGTGCGCGCTCTTCGCCGAGAGCTCCGGCAGGCACGAGGCCAGGCTCCAGCTCATCAAGTACAGCCAAGTGGCGACGCTGCTGGGCTCCACCAGCGTTCTCTTCTGCGGGCTCGTATCGGATAATATGGAAAACTTCGCTTATTTTCAGGCTTTCACCGTTTTGATCGCAGCGCTCGCGACAGTTTGTATGTGTTGCACAGGTAAATACAGCACAAGTCAGTATGAGCAGAGGGAAATTCATACTGAGGATGCTAATCTGGAAAACAGGGATGGAGCTTTCTCCTTGGCCTCAGTGGTTTCATTGACGAAACAGATCATGACAGAGAAGAACTTTCTATGTTTTGTAACAATGAATTTCTTCCAAGTCTTCCACCTAGCCTTCTACAACAATTTTATGATGATCTTTGCGGATAATCTTATTCCTAAGGACGTCCTTTCTTCCTCAGTAAGAAGTATCATGTATGGAGCAGGTTTTATTTGTCCTCAGGTAGGCAGTCATACTTTATTTCTAAATATGAAAACCTGGTGTTTTGGTAGTTCACAGTATTCATTTAATGCTTGAAAAAATGCTGTATTTGGCATAAGGCTTTTGCCAAAATGAGTACCAAGTCTCACTCCCCAGTGCTCTAGAAGAAGAACGTACCTCTGTGCAGGCTGATCGAGTGTAAGAGGCAGAGGGAGCAGACAGGCTGGTAGAACATGTGTTTAAAACAATGTGAGACTTGGGTAGGCAAGGAATGAATGTTTTGTATCCTCCAGTGCTTATAATACCTAAGCATAAAGGAATGAAAAACATGGCCAAGATCAAATGTTTCTAAAGCAAAATCGACATAATTCTGAATTATTTTTTTGATTTATTTGTTTTCCAATGTGTGTATTACAAATGAAAGACTAAGCTTTTCTTCAGGAAGTTTCTGAAATAAAATGCACAAAATACCAGAAAAAATTATTAAGTATGAAAAGCATTGTTTAAATATGTGGTATCTAAGTCATGGAAACCAAACAAAACTCTAAATAGCTGCTTTTGGTGAATAATACATTCCCATTTATTTTGTTGATTGGTCTCTTGGTCAGTAGTATTTATGGGGAAGAGAGACATACTTTTAAGAGCCCAGTCAGGGATGAGAGGAGGAATAATGAACTGAAAAGAGAAAGAGAACCCAAAAGAGTAATGTGTGAGAACAAGAAGAGCAGCAAAAGTACATCCCACAGACCATGCTTGTCTGCAGTAAATCAAAAATTCTTTTGTTCATTGCCTTCTAACTTATTTCTCTAGATTTTTAAAAAAATTTCTCTGTGTTTACTTTTTGGACGTTGAAAGTTAGGATACTCAAAATATGAGTATTCTGACATTCATCGTAGGTGCTGATGATGTTCAGAATTTTTTAAAATCAGGCTGTTATATTCATTGAATTGTAATGGGTTTTGATAAGTAATATGTATAACAAGGTATATGAAAATGCAACTGGAATTCACAGCTCAATTTCAGTTCTCATTTTGGCTTTTGCATATAAAACATAGAGATCCTGAACATACCTTCTGTTCCATAACTCCTAACTATCTATAATTTCAACTTTTGTCCTTATCACAGGTTTAATAGTTTTGGTGTTTTCGTCTGTACCTCAGGCAGTTAGGTAATGAACTTTGAAAATAAATCAGAGGCTACAGAAGTTAGGAAAGTTTAAATAATTTTACACTTAATATATAGCAATCACTTTTATTGATAAAATCAGTGTGACAGTGTGAAAAGAACAATCTTTCAGGAAATGCATCCCTCTCTGCTCCCCAGAGACTCTTTGTCTAAAAGGTCACTGAACCATAGAGGGTTTGCTGTGACCTTATTTTTCTCAGGTTTTGTCCCTTTGAGCTCAAGATACAATAAGAGAATTCTCTAATGGCAATGTCCTGAACTTCACTTACTGGAAAAACACCCGACCCTTGTAAAATAAAGCTCTTTTTTATGAACTCTGCTTCTGTGGCCCTTGCTAAACTAGAATTCAGCTTCTGACTTAGGTTTCTTCTAGTAGTGGATGTGAGGAGCACAACCTGCCCACAAGGAAAACGCTGCTGTAACATAGACAAGCAACTTTGAATTTGCATCATTGTTAGTATTTTCCTTATAAACACACAGTCTTAAAGACGTACAAGTAGTGAGGAATTTTCTAAGTCATAAGTACTTCCTGAGACAGGGTTATTTTACAATTAGAGGGAGACAGGAACATGGTGTTTACAGTAGCAGGCATTACATGATCCCTTAATATTTCTAGTGGAGGCACTTTTCAACAAAATGCCTGAAAACAGCCAGGAGGAGGAGTATGTTTTAAATTTCTTATAAGATATTTTTCTTAGATCACCTTTCCAGATTAGTTTTACCCCCCTGATCAAGCAGAAATCTTGAGCTTTTTATACAATAGCATTTGCTGTGGTAATCTTTGTCTGACCGTAGCATCCTGGTTTTATTTGTTATGTTAAAGCAGTTCGGTGTGGGAACAATTGTACAAAGAAAATTCTTTCCTGTTCTTCATCTGACTATTACACAGTTCATCTCTGTAACACAGAAAAAAGGAGAAAATGTTGATCTGTATACAGTTTGTATACTTGTGACAGACATGAGGACCATGTAGATGGTGACAAAGGCCCATATAATAAAAATAACATAATTAATTACAGAACTTCCCATTGAAACTGAAAAGTGAGGAACAATGTAGAAGAACTTAAATTTTGTTCATACTATAATGAGCACTTAATTTTCTTGAGTTACCCAGTCACTAGATACTCAGAATCTACTCCTTGCCAAGATTGGCAAAATTAAAACTCCGTCATGCACAAGCACTGGCCTCTGCCTTTCACTCCTTGCTAGTAAAGCCTCTAACTTGCTTAGTTAAAGCTGTCCTGGGGAGCTTGCTTTGACAACTTAAAAATCTTGCTTGATTTCTGTAAATGTCAATGAAAATGGTAATATTAATGAAAAAGTAAATACTGAAAATACATCTTTTCAGCAGTGTCATGGCAAGATGCTTGATTTAGTTATCATACTGCAAAGCTAATACTTTAAGGGATATCAAAAGTAAAGATCATAAGTTTAAAATAATAGTTAGGCATTGTGGGGAACTGTTTTCCTCAGGATATAGCAGTATAGCAGTTCTCAGGGGCTAGTTTTTGAGTGAAAGGAGACTGTACCTAGTAGAAGTGGCATAGAATGAGCCAGTGGAGAGTTGTCTTTGTTCAATTTGTATTTTTTATTTTGTTGGAACTTCTTAGAAAGGGTCATTCTTTGTGTTTTTTTTTTCCTTTAAAGGGTATTAATTATGCCAGGTTTGTGTTTTATAACTCTCCTAATGCTGAGATACTGTATGTATCTTTTCATCCTGTATGTGTATATGTTATCTTTTCAGTGCCTTGTTCTTCTCAGTCATGCTTGGTTGAAGAAATTTGGTTATTACAGAATCATCTTGTTTTCCTTTTACTATGAAGGAATAGCTGCTGCTGTCATGTGTCTTCTAGGGCAAGAACACTATTACCTGCTGGCATTTTATGTCACAACAAACATGTAAGTAAATCCACTCCCCTGTTCATAGACACAGCTGAAATACTTCTAATAGAGTAGATACTTGCTTTTATTATCATGAAGATTCTGCCTCTGCTTTCATGGTTTTCATTCTGTTTCACTTACCAGAAAAATTGAAACTCCAGTTACAACTTTTTTTTTTGGCTTTCATTTTATTCTGTTCCAGCTTTTATATTCTGCTTGAAATAAAAAGCCTAAAATGCAAACAGCAATTACGGTTTGCAGGTACATGCCTTCAGTCACTTTAACCTGAGATACAAGGGAAGGAGAATCTCATGTTTTCCACAGAGAAGGAAGCGCTGAGCAGAGGAAACAGTCTCTCTCCCCAGGGGCTGTTTGCTGGGAAAGCTCAGAGCCCACCCTGTGTTGCAGGAACACTTGTGTGCTGCACTGCAGGCAGATCTGGGTAACTCAGGTGTCTGTTGGGTAACCAGCACCAAGCCCACTCCCCCTGGTGCTCAGTACTAAGATGCCAAGCAGTGGTATTTTCACATAAGTATATAATAATACATGAAAAACCTTATTTCAACATAAAGAACTGTTTGTTCAGAATACTGTTACAGCAGTTTGTTTTTATTTCTTCATGTTCTCTTTCATTGTTGTCTTTCTCCATTGTTGTCTTTTTCTTCTTCTTTGTCTTCTGCTCTCTTTTTCTTCATCTTTCCCTCTCCACCCCATTTTCTTTCTTATTTTCAGTATTGCAGTTGTGGGATACTCTAACACTGAATTGTGTGAACAATAAATTGAATTTCGTTATCTGCATGTTTTAAATGATGAAGATATGTTTTGATTTCTACAAGAAAAAAATTCTGAGGTACCTAAAAACTGTATGTTTAAAGTGCTAGTTGTTCAAAGTACCTTTTTAGCAAAAGCTCATCACACCCAAAATTTAATGACACAGAAATGGTAATATTTGAGTTTATTGCTTCATTTGGCCATTTGTTAAAAATCAGCTTTGTATGTGTGTGTTTGTATGTGTATGTTGCATATCTATATACATCTATATACACTGTAAGTACATATACAGGCATGCATGCAAACTGTTCTTTCTATTCTAATTCTTCCACCTTGAAGTTTATCTTCCACATAGTCATGTTTTTTCCAAATTTCAAGAGCAAATTTTCAGTTTCCCCTTTTTCTGAGGTGTTTCTTTTCTCCTGATCATTTAAAACGACATTTAGTGATAATGTAAATTTGTTGTCAAAGTTTTCATTACCTTTTACACCAATGTCCATCAAAAAAAAAAAAAAGAAGAAAATCCCCCACTTCTAGGTTTGCATATTGCTTTCTAATTCTCAACTAAAAACAGACCTGATAATGCTTTCATATTTTAAGGAACATCTCAGCTTTGTGTGCTTGCAGAATATCTGTGTTGGTGTGTTTGTGTTAGAATGTCAGTTACAATTTCATTATAAGGTGAATATAAGAACTGTGAACATCTGCAATATTTTTTTTTTCTTTAGGGTAATTGTGCAAGCTTCATTTAGCTTGTTCAATTTGCCTTTGGCAGATATTGTTGATGCAGATTTAATAAAGCACAAGAGGAGGTATGTCAGTCATTACCATTTTTTTAAACATGCTGTTTGCCTTGTTACACTTTATTAATAAATTATGTCAATGTAAATACAGTAAATTATCTGGGATCCTTGATACAGAAGTACTTATTGTGAGAACAATTTAGCATAAGTGAAGATCAGAACTTGAGTAAAGTTTCCTGCAGTTCCTCCAGTAGAGTCATATAAACAGATTATTAGGTCATTTCTCTTTTTTCTTATACTATAATATAACCCAAGTCCTTCCAATTTTTGTGGCTTTATTTTTGTTAGCTCCAATTGAATTACTTTGTAACCAGGTACATCTATGATCATGTATGGAATTTTCTGAATGAGGCCTTTCCAAGATGGAAAAGTTGTTTAAAAAGCTTTGCCTATGCTAGGTAAAATGCAGATTTCAAAATCTAACTGGTTCCTTTATCTCCCTGAAATAAAAGTGATAAAACCTGCTGCAGAATAGTATATTGCAACTCACTGATCTTTTGGATTTTTATCAAAGTGCACATAACTTCCTGTTGGTTCAGTCAATTGTTATGTAAGTGCAGATTCACTCCTGTTAAAGAACTTACCCCTCAAATGGAAGATCTGTTGCTTTCATGAGGAAAAAATTGCCTCATTTTCTGGCCTATGCATGCAAAATCTTCAGTTGTAATTAATTCTCCATGTATTGTTCAGTCTAATTTAACATCAATAATTACTCAAAGTGCACAAAGTTGAATTTAAGTATAAGTCACTTTAGAATTAGGGCCAAGTTGTGTCTATGTGTGTATATATATATATATATATATATATATATATATATATATATATACACACACACTAATACACACACCCTGTAGAGGTTTGTAACCTTTAATTTCCAAATAAATTTAAATTCCATTATGAGAGTAGATCTCTTTGCTATAATGTGTGAACTAGATAAATTTAAGGATCATGATATTTAGGATTTGCACATTAATAAGATTTCAAGCTTTTTAAAATCACAATTGTAATTAATACACTAATAAGTTTGTGTTGTGCATTAATTTCTTTTTTCCCCAAATATTTTAGGTTACCACTTTCCTCTATGGTTTTTGGTACCAATGCTTTATTTACTAAGCCTGCCCAATCTTTGGCTCCGATAGTTGTGGTTACAATACTAAATCATTATGGATATTATAACCTGAATAATGTACCTGGTCATCCTGATATAAGGTTAGTCAAAAGAGATACTTTAAATCCTAGAAAATATCATTAAATACTCTGTAATCTAAAAATAAAATTGATCAGCAATTACTTTGCATCAACTTCAAAAACATAAACATTTTAAAATACTTATCAGCTGTGTTTGTGTAGAAGTACAAATGTTTTTTAAAGAGTAAATAATTTATTAAACAGTGTACATGAGGCTATCTACCTGATTTTGAAAAGCAAAGGATATCTTTCATCCCCTTGCATTTTGCAATAAAATAAGAAAATGTTTGAGATCGCCTAATAGCTCTTATTAAGATACATGTTGTCCTGGCATCTGCATTTTGTTTACCTCATAAACCTACTTCCTTAAATATATAATATATAATGTTAAATCAGATCCTTTTTTTTTCTGTTTGAGAGGAAGCAGTATAATCACTGGAGGGGAAGACTTTGCCTTGAGTAGGAGTGTATAATTTTGGCTCCAATACTCCTTACCATTCTAATGCTAATCATTTAATTGCAGTCCCTGGAGACCTTAAAACAGCACAAAGTTGTGGTTGCTGGTTAGTTGGACGTGTGTGGGCTTTTATAAAAATAAATTAACAGGGAATAACCACACTGAAAGGGTCACAGGCTGTATTTATGACCATGCATAAATGTTTGGGCCCTCAATAAATATGTCTGAAGAGTTTCCAGCAATGTTGTTTACTGGGACAAGGCAGAATATGCAGTCTATACACTATTTGCTGCATTCTGAATTATTTTTAATATTTTATTTTACTAATAATTATTACTTTTTCTTGAATTGAGAGCTAAACTGTAGCAACAATGATGGAGCAGCTAATGCTGGAAAGCTTCATGCACAGTAAGGACAATAAAATCAGTAATAGCCAGCATGGCTCCTCCAAGGGGAAGTGATGCTTGACCAACTTGATAAACTTCTGCAGTTAAATGACTTGCCTGGTGGGCAGGGGAAGGCAGTGGAGATTGCCTGCCTGGGCTGCATTCCTGATGACCAGGATGATGGGGCAGGATGGAGCCTCAGGAAGTTTGGGGATGACACAAAGCTGGGGCTGTGGCACCTGCACACAGGGTGACAGTGCCATCAGGGGGGATCTCAGGCTGGAGAAATGCGCTGGAATTGGCCAAAGTCCTGCAGCAGGGCAAAGGTGATCCTTCCCCTCTGCTCACACATTGTGCCACATCCTTAGGAAATGTGGTCACTGCACAGAAGTTAAGCACTTTGTCATGGAAAGTGGTTTTTAATATCTTTAAAATGTGAGCAACACTTTGCAGAATGGAGTGTCCTGATTTTTCCTTTCTTCCATCATCATAGGACAGCAGTTTGTGCCCTGTATGGCTTGAGATGGTTTTTGTTCTTTTTGGGTTTGGTTTTTTGTTTGTTTGTGTGGGGGTTTTTTTGTTTGTTTTATTTTGCTGGTTTTTTTTTTTTTAGTTCGGCTTGATTTTTTTTTTTAGTTTGCTATGGAAAAGATGCCTAGTTTAAAACCTCCCTCTTCTGGAGAGCCACTGCAACTACCACCAGCTTCTCTTGAGAGTGCTTTTCAAATTCGTTCTTCAGAATAAAGTTATTTGGCAGCAATTCTTCATTATTTATTGAAGGCACTTTAAACTGTTAATGCTTTCATATTGAATTACTGAACTACTTGACATTCTGTTCAGAGTGATTTTAGAGTTGTTTAGGGAAACACTGTGTGTTTTATTCCTGTGTGAGCAAAAAAAAGGTAGATGTGGAAATTTCTGAAGTTCCTTGTTCAGCTGTAATTGTGATAAAATCCAAACTCTGCTCATGATTTATCCCAGTCCCTTAATGAAATATTTTCCCATTCCTTGTTTTGTGTATTATAGATACTTTTTCATAATTCCTGCGATAACTTAAAGTTTTACAGTACAATAGGTAATATTATTGTCTTAAATCAGCATTGTTCTAGTGAAACCAAATCAGGATTGCGGCGTGTGAGTGATTTTGCAGATGTTCTTTGTGTAAAGATGGAATAATGTTAGCACTGAAAACTGCAATCCTCTTTAGTGTGCAGAACAGGCCAAATGCAAGCCCCAACATCCTGTCAACTGTCTGGGTCCTGTTCTCATCATTAGGTGGTTAAATAATGTCTGTGGCCTCCGTGCTGGCACTGCTCCTGCAGTCCCTGGGGCAGCTGAGCCAGAGCTGGGCACGATGTGGGCTCCTTCCCATGTAGGTGCACTGGAAATGCAGTTGGATACAGGCCAGTAAACAACTCTAAATGGTAAATTATTGCCACTGCCAATAAACATTGGCTATGGACCAGTGGCCTGCTAGTGAACACTTCCAGTCACAAATGCAATTGCCCGAGTGATTAAGTGATTCACTTGTGAGCCTGTGGGCTTTTGTTTTCTTATGTAGCATTAGCATGTACACTGTTTGAGATAAACTGTGCTCATTTATGAGCCTGGGTCTGTACTAAGAACAGAATCTGGGCTTTGTTGGAGCTTGCAAACATTTTTTCTGTAAAACTGAGTGAGACATTAGTTTATTTTTTCATGATTCAGAGGAGCTTGTAGGTTTTATTCAGAAACCTGCTCAAAGTTTGGGGTATTTTTCGCAGATTTCAGGTTTTTTGGACCATGTCCATAGCTTTTCTGTGAGTCTCTTATCTCATTCCTGAATGCTAAGGAAAAAAATTAGAAAGGAACATAAACTGCCTCATGGAGAGAAAGTTCACTTAGGGGCTGTTTCTCAGCTTGAGTTGACTTTCCTGATATTTAAGTAATTAGAATCCCATAATTAACAGAATGCAAGTAGATAATGATTCCTACTAGATGAATGCCAAAATGCATGCTTTGAGCTGTCAGAAACCATACTGCTCACAAAAGGGAGCTCATTTAATTCCTGTATTTTCTTTCTTCATTCATATTTGTTGATGGTTTTATTTATTTTTCATTAGAGAAGATTTAAATGAGGAAATGCCATGCATTCACTAGAAAAAAATGAAAACTAGTGTTAATTTCACATTTATTCTTTCTATGGATTATATTATCTTGTAATCATTTATTTTAAAACCAAATGAAATAAGGCTTGATATTTCAAATGGCTCTTGAAACCACACCTGAATTTTGTGCAATTATCATTACCTCTATCTAGCATTCAGCATCTGAAACATCACACTATGTGGATAGTAAGTAGCACAGATTTCAACTCAAATAAATTAATTTCGTGTTCAAATTTTGCTTCCATTTTCTACGTTTGTTTCTCTTCCAGAATTTTCAGTCTTATTAAAGTTTTTTGGATGCTCTGTTCTGTAACTGGATGAAATTTGCTTAAATTGATTTCTATATTACATAATCAGGAAAGTAGTGAACAGGATTTCTTAGGTTCTATTAAAACTAACTCTTTGTGTGCTAATTATCTGAATTCCTCCCACCTAGAGAAAGCAATATATAATACATATCTGTATGTAAAATTAGAAAATACACAAGATATTTCTATTTCTTTTATGTAGAATTGACTGTACAGATAAATACATAGCATGTCTATGTGTTTATAATGGGAATGATTTTAAAATAACTTGTTTAATGACCATGAAAGTTAATCTTCATATTGAAAGCTGCCTTCTCATTTGTTTCAGCAGGTCATTTTTACATCTCCATGATGCCATGTTCTACCTGGTCTGTCTGGTTCCCCTCTGCATTGCAGTCCTACAGATCCTGACCTGGACTCCCTTTTCCATCCAGAATAGCCACCTGGCAGCTCCACAGTAAATATGGAACCAGTGGTCAGTGTATCTCCTGCTGAACCACAAGAAAATTCAGTAAGTTTTTCATGTGAGAAAGCAAAATTGCAAGAGGAAACACAGTCTGAGCTGTTTCATTCAGTCTCTACAGACTGAGTCACATTCAGCCTTAATGCTGAGCCTACACAAGTTTTTCCTAGTTCAGTTGCTTTCTGTTAATGGGGTTTATCCTTAATTATTTTATTTAAAGTAATTTCTGGTATATAATGATTCCTGTTAACTCATTTGAAGAAAGGATATGGCAGATCAGGGAAAGGGATCCCAACCCAGCACCTGGAATTCAAGGGAACTGTATTTTCTGGAGCCTACTGGTGGATTAATTTTGCCATATTGATAAAAGGCAGATCTCTGAAGTTAATCTGGAAGATCCCAGTGGACATGCCTCATGGATGGCAGGGAGGTAAAGAGAAAAATTTAGATGGTATCTAGCTGGCCAGTATCAAGACAAATCTGTCGGCTACCATGGGAAGAGCCAAGAGTAATTAAATACCCTGAAAGTCTGTGTCAGGCTGAAGAAGAAAAGGATTCAGATGCTGTTCAGTGTTGCTCAATATGGAAAAAGCTCAGTAAGTCCTCACTGGCTTTCAGAATCTCTGGTTGGTGGAAGGTCAGTGCAGTTTTCTGGCTTTAAATGGGAAAATAATTTTGAAGGTATCCTATAGTTAGTACCTCATACAGAATGTCATTGTGGCAAGGACAGCATTAGTCTGTGGATGTAGGGTTCAGCTCTTGGACAAATGTGGGCACACACAGTTATTAAACCAAGCTCTACCTGTTCATTAGTGTTCATTGGCTAACTCATTTGGTGTGTGACTGTTCAAGTTAATTTCTGAATCATCAAGTTGAAGTTAGATAATTTCTGATTAATTCTTATCAGTTAAGATTTTAAATGAATCCTGTGATTTTTATAAATTAAAGAACTTTTGATAAAAATTCAGAAACATTGAGTCCTCTCTTCATTTCACAAATCGTAATGGTAAGACACATTGGCATGTTTACAGTACTCCCATTTAATCAGTATTATTCTTCCTCCAGTATATCCACTGTGTAATTGTGCAGTGATAAATACCTTTAGCATAATACAATCACTGTGTTTTTGTATTATGTTTTATCTGGTCAAATTCAGTTTTAGTAGCACCTTTCTTAGGGAGTGCCACTTGAAAGTACAAGAGCATTGTGTGGATCCCCGTTTTAAAAGGCTGAGCAAGCTGATTTTCAAGGCTCTACTTACTGTGACAGGTAACTTGGAAGAGAAAGGAGTGTAAGAAATGGCTTTGCATTTTGGTGGACACCAGCATAATTTAATGAAGAAATTTGAAATAACAGAGCTGAAAAAAACATTCATTTGTGCCTTGGTTTCTACATTTACAGAGTAGAAATAACATCATTTCCTTGCCTTTTTTGAAGTGTGAAGTGCTTTCAAGATGAGGAATGAAAAAGAGGGAGATCATCATTAAATATTTAAAAATCCAAATGAATCCTTTGATAGAAATATGAAGATTTATGTTAAAATGTAAGAAGCCAGAACTGTGGTGAAGTTTGAAGTTTTCTTACCTGGTTTTTATCTGTCTTGTCAGAAAGGCTGTTGCCCATTTGCATTGTGCATGCTAACAGCATTATGTGCACATACAGCATCACTTGTGTAAATACTCTGTGGATAGGTAAATATAAATACCAGAGCAGATACAGCCTGTGTGTTTAGGTTTGGATTTGAAAAGATTGCCTGCATTGTATGTATTTATTTCATGCCTGAAAGGCAGGAGCAGAAGTTGAAGGAATTTAAGTTAATATAATCTTTGATTCATTATATGAAAGTCTTCTCCCTGACAGTTCCTTAAAAAATGGTAATGACATTAAATAGTCTCTTTTGTCTTTATTGTTTCTGTATTTCCTAAACTTCCCATGTTTATCCTATCTTCATAGAATATATATTTTAACATATACAATAATGTTATTGTACCATAAACAGGATTTGTTAGGTGACTGTGTTAGTTATTTCTAATATTAAGTTATTAGAAAATAGTGTACTGGAAGAGTACCATGCTATACAGCAGGAAATCTAATAAGTGGTTTTAAGAGTCAAAATTACATCAAGAATTCAATGAAATCATCAAAATTATTTTTTTTATGGAAAATGTCTGATAAAGTTACTATTAATGTGCTGAAATAAGAAAGGAGTAAGGAGTGATATGACTCAATGCACTGGTGAATAGACTCTACAATCTGCTGCATCTCTAGAATTCCTACAGGAAAAGTACATAATCAAAGATTTCTAAGCAAGACAGCCTGAAGATAGGAGACATTAACTGTAGAATAAACCGGTTTAGAAAAAATCTGAGAACTACAAATTATTTGATATGTAAAATATTAATAATATTCCAAATTTATTATACACTGTTCTCCCATTTGTCTGTCCTATTTCCCTTGCTGTAAGGGCAGGAGAAATGTCTTTTAGAGCATCAATAGTCAATCCCAAAGAGGACTGGAAGAGAGCTTTGAATTTGGGTGGTGGTCTTCCTATGGGAATAGAAGGTTGGCACTGTGCTGTGACTGACATTGCTTATTCTCCATTTCTCTGTCACCCACTAAACTTTATCTTCTGCTAAACCTACATGATTGGTTTTGGCTGTGAATCAAGTAAAGGATGATCAAAGGGAAGAGTTCAGTGTCTTGCAACAGCTGGTTTCCCTGCTTTCTCTCCTTATTAGCCAACAGTATCTGAGCTTGAACTCCCACTGCTGGAAAAATGCCTCAATTTAATCTGGATAATTTAAGGGTCTAAAATAGTCTCATAACTGATAAAGAGGCTATAAATGTGTGTATAGTATAAAATATGAAATGCTGTGATAAGCTCAGAGGAGGAGAAATGTGATGCTTGAATTACCTTCTTAGAGTTTCTCTATAAATTCTGAGAATATGGAACTTAATACACTGAATGAATTTTATTTACTGAAAATCAATAAGCAGAAATGTCTGCTAGCTTAAAAGGATGTTGCCCAATAGACACTAAAGAATGTTAGTCTAATATAGTAGTAATATAATATGTGGTCAGTGATAGAGTGAAAATATTGAATAAATGACAGCAAAGCTTATTTAATTTTAAGTGAGGAAAAATGATGTTTTGTGGAGCTTACATGCCCACCACTGTTCTGGTCTTGTACAAAATGCCCTTCCCAGTCTCCTGCTGCCCTGATTTTGGAACTGCCCAGTAATTCATAAATGTACTGTGTTGACATGGCTGGTAGGAATGTTTACATTTGAATACAGTTCCACAGACTAATGGGTGCTGTCAGGAAAGACAAGCAGGAAGGGGAAGGAACACTTCAGATAAGCCACATCTCCACAAGGACTTCTAGGCACTTCCTTGTATAATTAAGCCAGTTTGAGGGGGGAAAAGGCTCAGTAGTACATGCAGGCAAAAGAATTCCAGCTGGATTGCTGAAGGGACATACAACTGAGCCTGGGGGGAGTTGTTCTGAAGGTCTGGTGAGACCCACAGCTGGGCTCCCTGGCTTACCTGTGGGGGAGAGGATTTTAGCTATCTCTGTTTACCTTAGAAACCTCTTTCTGGTAATCCCTTTCTTGCTAATGTTTCAATAATAGAAGGGAAAGTTGTTTTGTCACTGCATTTGATGCCTTGTGTAGGCTGACCTGGAACAGAGACTAGACAGAGTAAAAGAATAAAGTAGGGATTTATTAGGAGGCCTCAATAGATCCACCTTGGGCAGCACAAGAGCCCAGCCTGGGCTACACCCAAGGTGAACCCAAAATGGTCACCAAATGCATGACCAGTCATGGGGTCTCTCACTTTTATAAGTTCTGCTCCATTTGCAGATTGGAATTCATTGTCCAATTAGAGCTTTAGCTCACCAAGTCCCATCCTTCTTGCTTTTCTCTCTCCAGTCCATGTTGTTTATGCTCTTGGGCCTGAGATTTGGATCATTTGTCCTTGGTCCCCAGCTGGAGAAGGAAATATTTTGTCTACCCACTCTGTGAAGAGAGCTCACCATCCCCTAATATGAAGCCTAGACCCACACACTAAAGCATTACGGAATCTGAAAAATATAAAAGCTAAAACCTGAGGCATCACATTTTATTAGAAAAATGGAGGATCCACATCATGGCCCAGCTGAGGCTGTGCAGCCTGCCCTGCAGCGAGGCTGCTCCAGAAGCCAGGCTCCTTGGGTCAGCACACAGCAAAACAGCTGGCTTCAGCCCTTTCCGTGTGCTTGGGACCTTTTCAACTCCAGGGATTCAATTGATCATAGGAATTTTCCATCCAGACAAAGAAAAAAACACTCTCCAAATAGTGGAGCAGAAAACAGAGAAAGTGATTCCATTATTTCTGGGAATCCTTTCCAAGCACACTAATTGAATGACCAAGCTTGCTTACACCACAAAGGGTTTGCTGGGGTTGTCCAGAAGTTTGTTACAACTCCAACAGTTTATATGAAAATGACTACATCAAAATTATTACCTGAATATACATGGTGAGTTCTTTATGGCTTGTCAAGAGAAAAATATGCTGAGTATACAACTACTGCATCAGAATGTTAATGACAAATGTAACACTGGGTAGGAATTTTGAAAAATTCCACTAAAACACACCCAGGTTGTATGCTAACGATGCAAAGACAAAAGCTAGCAAATTTCTTAATTAATTTGGTGTGTAATCAATTATCTGTATTTTTTATGTGATAAAACCAAGATATGTTTCCCTGTGAACAACAACATGTAACTAACCTGAATTAATTTTATTTACCGATTTATAATAGAATGAGCAGATGTCTGTTTAAAAAGCAGCAAATTTATCTTTTGTTATTTTGGATTTTTGATTATAAAGTTGTTTTATTCCTGGAGGGAAAAAATAAACTAGTCTGTCTTTACAAATAAGAACAGGCATGGAAAGGAGAGTCTTAATCCCAAACCAAATAAAAATAAGACCAAAAAGGCATTGTAGCCAATCTAGCTATTGGAGGGAGAAAAAAACCAAACAATCCTCAGTGGAACACTGTCTAAAGCTCTCAAGTCAAAAAATTTCCTCAAGGGGGTTGAACATCAGGGAAAATGAACTGCACACAAAAATCCTCTGGCAATGTTCTGCTGTTGCTCTAGTTTTGCTGATTTCGCAGGGTAGGCAAGGTTGGATGTGAGCAGAGCTCGATCAGAGGCGGTTCCAGGCAGAAGCAGGATCCCGGAGGGGTATGGATGTGAGCAGAGCTCGATCAGAGGCGGTTCCAGGCAGAAGCAGGATCCCGGAGGGGTATGACTGCCAGGGTTGGATGTGAGCAGAGCTCGATCAGAGGCGGTTCCAGGCAGCAGCAGGATCCCGCAGGGCTCTGGGTGCCAGTTCCCCCTGCCCGGCCATGAAGGGCCGAACCAGCCCCGGCCCCGCTCTGGGGCGCTCCCTGAGGGCTCGGCCGCGCCTCGGCCCGCGCCGCTCTGCGCACGCGCGGCTGGCAGGGCGGCGCCCGGCACGTGCGCGAGCGCGGCCGAGGCAGCCACCGCCCGCCGGCGCGGCCCGGGGCGGGGACGGGGGAGGAGCCCGGCCGAGAGAGGGGCCCGGCCGAGCCGCCGCCAGCCCGCCCTGCCCGGCCCCGCTCCGGTTCGAACGCGGCGCGGCCCCGCCCGGCCGTCGGCGAGAGAGAGGGAGGGAGCGGGTGTGCGCGCCAGGCCCCGGCGTGTCGCAGCGAAGGCGTCCGGGCGGGCCCCGCTGCCGCGGCGGCGCGTTCCGCCCGGAGCGTGTGCGCGGGCCCCGAGCGGAGCCGCCGCTGCCATGGAGCGGGGGGGCGGCGGCGGCGCGCGGGGCTGATCGCGCCCCTTCCCCATGAGACTGTGGCTGTGCTGGCTGGGCTGCTACACCCTGCTCCTGTGGGTGCTGAGGAGGACGATGTGGGCTGGCCCGGCCCGGTACCTGCGGAGCCCTTTATCCAGGTC